GTTAGGTTTGGAATTCCTTTGGGATTTTACAAAGGACGACTTAATTTACAATCTACATAGAAAACGCCTTTTAGGCTGGGAGTGTATCTCAGTGGCAGGATGTTTGTGTAGCATTTGGAGGTCCTAGGTTCAATTCCCAATCCTGTCAGAAAAAAAGTCCCTTTGACATTCCCAGGCTCTATGACAATCCACCTTTGTTCTTTGAAATAATTATTTGGGGTTACTCTCTGGAGATATCAACAGTCTGGTTTTTGTTTGTTTCTTTTTTGAGACAGGGTCTCACTATGTAGTTTAGACTGGCTTTGAACTCACTATGTAGCCCAGGCTGGATTTGAACTTGTGGTGATCCTCCTGCCTCAGCCTCCTGAGTGCTGGGATTACAGGTATGTGCCCTAGGCTACTCTTTTTTTTTTTTTCAGTACTGGGAATCAAACTCAGGACCTTGTGCTTGTCAAGCAGGTACTGTGCCACTGAGCTAAATTCCCCAGGCCCTACAGGCTACTCTTTGGAAGCAGGCTACTCTTAAAGCTACTCTTTACTTGTTTCACCATTCTGAGACACTGAAAAGTAGAATCTGGAGTTTATAGGAAATTGGGTCTGTTCAAATACATTGAAGTCAATGTATTTACCTTCTTACACACTTTGGACACACTGCTCACAGTTCTCTGGTTTAGTTTTCAGGGCCTTGTGTGGTGGTGCAGACCTGCAGGGTGAGGGAGGCTTGGAATGCTGAGGCCAGCCAGGAGGATCGCCCTGAGTTCAAGGCCAGCCTGGGCCACATAATGATATTCAGGCCAGCCTATATTATGTAGTGACATAGTTTAAAAAACTTGTCTCAAAAATCAAACAAAAAAGAACTAGGAGGAAGCTGCTTCCCCTCTTGGGGGTGGGGGGTTCTGGCCCCTGTACACTGGTTGGGAAACCCTAGGGAGCCTGTAGTCCTGGTGGCTGGAAACACCAGCCAGTGTACTAAGCATCAGCATCAGAAAGGAAGGGAAGAGGCAGGTGTAATAAAGGAGGTCTGAGTTTGATACAGACTGTAAAGCTTCTGGGTTGTGACCTCTTTCTCTTCTCCACTCCCAAGTCCTTGTGTTCTTTTTATCATCTTGTCCTCTTGACCCAGACACTTGGGAGCCAGCCTGGTCTTTCCTGGGTCCTCACGTTCAAGCAGTGGTGTAGATTCTGCCTTCTGAATAAGGCTCAGCCCCTATGGGGGTTGTTAGAAATCGGTCAAAGTGTGCACCCCTATCACAGCCTGAGGCAGGAAGACAGCAAGTTTGGGGCGGCCTAGGCAATTTAGGGAGACCCATGTAAGTCACTTGGCAACCAAACAGCTCCGTGGTGAGAAAAGGAGTGTTTTCTTCCTGCTTGAGTACATTGGTTAGCTGGGGCACAAATGGCAATGCATCCTCCAATTGTCCCCTTCTCTTGTGTGCAGTGAGGACTGCATCATGATGTGCTTCAGCCATCTGGTGGCTGCTGCCCCCTCCCTGGACCCTGCACATGGCCCCCTGGGTCTTTCTCTTGCTTCACTCCCTCCCTCCCTCCTGCATGTCCTCAGGGTACACTTCCCAGTGCCTTCAGGATAGACTGAGGTGCTTGAGGTGGCAGCTAAGGCTTTGTCCCTGCCTGGCTCCCTTTGCTCGGGTCTCATTCCACACCCTCCTTCACCAGCAAAGCCTTGCTCTCTCTTTCTTCCCAGCAACGCCTCCTGCTTGTTAAAGACCAAGCTCAAGTCTTGAAGCTTTCCCAAGTTGGGTGGCTTTTCCTGAGCTTCCTTCTCCCTTTACACATCACCCTGTTTGCGCTTGCAAAGCAGGCAGTGGAACCACTGAGCTAAATCCTTGGCCCTTTACTTTTTATTTTTTGAGACAGGGTCTCACTGTATATTTTAGGCTGGCCTTGAACTCCAGCAATCCTTGTCTCAGCCTCGTGAGTGCTGGGATTACAGGTGTGTGCCACCACACTTGGCTACCTGAAAACGTTTTATTTTACAATCAGAAGGAAAAAAAGTTAAATTCAAGGGTTAAAGAAAATATGTTAGTTTTCACAGAAAAATGTTAAATTCTTCAAATTTTTTTAACAGAGGAAGACACCCACAAAGGCAAAAGTACCTAAGGGCTGGGTATTTAGCTCAGTGGTGCCTGTGCCTGCCTTGCAAGCACAAGGTCCTGAGTTTGATCCCTGGTACCAAAAAAAAAAAAGTACCTACTGCCCAGGATTGCTGTGTCTTCAGTTTCCCCTTCCCTCAGTAGCCTGAGAGTTCCTGTGGAGGGGGCGTGGATGCTCCCACTCCCATGTTATTTTAATGGTTTGAAGCAGTGCTGGTGATAGAACTCAAGGTCTTTCTTTTTTTTTGGTATCGAGGATCAAACTTGGGACCTTGTGCTTGCAAGGCGGTGGAACCACAGAGCTAAATCCCCAGCTCAAGGTCTTTCTTGTACTTGAGCACTGTACCACTGCATCCCCAGCTCTATTTGCATCCCAGGGAGAGGCACTTGGGACTGACTCAGGTAATTTCTTCTTTTTGTAGTCCTGGGCATTGAATACAGGTTCTCAAACATGGTTTCTACCACTGAGTTACACCCTTGCCCTTTTTAAGGTTTCATTTTGAGACATGTTCTAAATTGCCCAAGCTGGCCTCGAACTCAAAATATTCCTGCCTCAGCCTCCCAAGTGCAAGGATTACTGGTGTGCATCACCATGTCCAGCTAGGGATGAGGCTCTGGGTAGTGAGGGAGAGTGCTGGACTGTGGATCCTGGGGTCCTCTCTGAGGTATGCAGGGTGTGGGCGAGGAGGAGGCAGGACAGGAGGTTGTTGAAAATGTCCCCAGGGGCTTTGGTACCTTTATTTTGGTAGCAATCAGAACTACCCTCTTTATGCACAGAAAGGGTACTAGAAGAACACAGCAAAGTGTCTCACAGTGGTGGTAACCTTTGTAATTGGAAACTAAACTGAAGTAAAGCACAAGGCTCCTTAGTCCTAGAGGGACAGGTTTCTTTCACTTTAGGTCACTAACCTGCTTTAGCATTAAAAAATTTGTTTTTTGGGTTTTTTGGGGGGGAGGGGTAGAAGTGGGGATTAAACTCAGGGCCTCATAGCTGTGGGCTCTATCCCCGAGCTGCACTCTCAGCTCCCTTGTTTTGAAGGCACATGCCTATTTTATTTTCTCTTTGTGTCCCTGGCCCTGGCAACCTTCCACCTCATGGTCCCATCTGGCACCCCATGAGCCCAGGGCCCCTACCCCCAGCTGCTGAGAAGTGCAGCTCCTCCCTGAGGGCAGGGCCAGAAGAGGAGAAAGCAGAACCGTGGGACAGACTATTTCCCCGAGGTGATGTCTCTCAGGTCGTCATGGGGACTGAAGAGATGGGGTATCTCCTACAGTGACAGAGGAGCCCCTGTGGTATTTGAGAAATCTAGTCCCATTCCCTCCTCATACACTTCCAGGTAATTTAATATTTCCCATGGCCCCTGAAGAGCTGGAACTGTTTTTTACAAGTCACAGGGTGCCTAGCTGTCTTAGTGGTCACTGCCGTGTATCCATGTGTAAAAGCATGCGGGTACATAGTAGGTATCGACTGGGAGGACTGATCTGTCAATGTGCCTTCTTTAACGGATTGCTGGGTACCTCCCCAGGGAAGGGCACAAAACCACCTCTAGATAATAAGACCCCGTATGGCTTCCCGCACCCTGTAATTTGGATCTCCAGGAATCGCCTTTGTTGTGGGCGACCAACCACAGGTAAAGCAAGCACCTGGTTCTCCAGCCGGTCCTCGCGGAAGGACCCCAGGCTGCTGCGACCCTGGCTGCCTTTCTGGGTCCTATCTTTCATTTTCTAGGGACCTGGAGGCGCTCCACAGCCAGGGTCCGCCCCGGCGCTTCCCAGTCAGTGACCAGCGTTCCCAGTACCCGACACTCTGACCGGGACCAGGATTCTTCGTCCCCTCGGGCCGGGCGGGGGGGCCTAGGGTTCCGCCAAGGACCTCAACCGACAACCCCAGGTCCGCCGGGGCAGGAGCCCAAGTGGCGGCCGCGCACGTACGCTCTTCCCCGGCTTCCGTCCTGGGGCCACCTCCTCCTGCAGGGCCGGGTCCCGGAGCGCCCGCTCCCCGCCGGGCGGCAGTGCGCCCCTGGCCAGCCTGCGCCTTCGCGGCCGCGGCTCACCCCTGGCCGACCCCGGGAGCCTCGCCCGCCTGCCCCGCCCGCGGAGCAGCCCAGCTCCCAGCGCTCCCGGGCGGCTCCACCCTCCCGGCGGGGCCGCAGCCATCTGGGGCCCCTGCCAGTTGTGTTCGTTCCGGGGCCCGCGCCGAGCGCGCGCGGGGGAGGCTGCCGTGCGCGGGGACCCGGCCGTCCCTTCCTGCTGCGGCAGAGCGCCTGGCGCTGGGATGCCCCGAGGGGGCGGTGGCCGCGAGCCGAGCCCAGCCGGGAGTGCGTCGCAGCGGACGAGGGCGCCCCTCGCCACCCCGGTGACCCTTCAGGAGCCCGGACGCGAGCCCCGGAGGCAGCAGCGCGGGCCTGCGAAGGCGGAGAGGCCGGTGCTCCCAGCGTCCGGAGCGGGCGCGGGCTGCGGACTCGTCGCCTCCCGCCTCTCGCCCCCAGCCCCCCACGAGCTGGCAGGAGGAAATAGCGCGCGGCCCCTTTAAATTTACCCAGGAGCCCTGAAAGGAGCCCCAGGGGCCCCAGACAGGAATCCCCACCCCGGTCCAGCCCGCGCCGCCGAGCGCGCAGCCCGCCGTCCGTGCGGCCGGCCGCCCGTGCATGCGCCCCGCACCCAAGCGCCCGCGCCCCTCGCGCCTCG